GCTATCATTGAGGCTTGTAAAATACACATCCCAAAGAAGACAATATGCAGGAGAAGTGTCCCATGGTGGACAACAGAACTAGACATGCTACATCGCGATACTAGGAGGCTGCGCAAGGCCTACCAGCGGTGTCATGATGATATCACTCACACTGTCCAAAAGGACTCCTATCTGCAAAGCCAAAGGCTTTGTAAGCAGAAGATGAGGGAAACAAAAACCCAAAGCTGGAGGGACTTTTGCTCCAGGACTTCTACCAACCCATGGGGCTACATCAGCCACATGTGCAGTAATAAGCTGCGGAAAACCCACATTCTAACCACAAAAGGCACCGACAGAGAACCGGAATCCCTCATTCAGGCTCTCATTACTCAGTTACAAGCATTTTGCCCAGACAATGACACAGAATGGCAACGGAATCTGCGATTAAAAATTGATAAGCTTGACAATACGGAAGACATGCCACCTTTTACTTTCGAGGAGATCGACAACGCCATTTAAAACATGGGCAAGGGTAAGGCTCCTGGCTTGGACGAAATAACCTCTGAGATCGCCACTTCTATCTGGTCTCTCATCCCCAGTCACTTGGTCACAATGTATAACACCTGTCTCCAGCACGCCATTTTCCCAGAGGAGTGGAAAAAGGCAAAGGTTATTCCGGTCCCCAAGCTGGGTTCTGCCGTGGACGTTAGGCCCATTTCCTTACTCTCCGTTTTGGGTAAGGTCCTGGAGAAACTGATTGCCACCAGGCTTAACTGGTACGTTGAAAGCAATAACTGGATCAGTGACACACAGTATGGGTTCCGCCCACAGAAGTCGGCGGAGGACACGGTCCAGGCTGTTGTCTCCCGGGTTCAGAATCTACTGGAAGATCACCGCTATGTGCTTGGGGTCAGCCTTGATATTTCAAAGGCCTTTGACAGTGCCTGGTGGCCCCTCATTACTCACCAGCTCTGCAGCATCAGTTGCCCTAGGAACATCTAACACCTTCTGCAAGACTACTTCCGGAACCGGCATGCCACTCTTCAGTATGGCCGACATAGTGTCAACAAGTCAATCACTAGGGGCTGCCCACAGGGGTCTGTTTGTGGACCCCTGCTGTAGAACATTGCCTTCAATGCCTTCTTGAAGGAGGAGTTTGGGCACTCGCATTGTTATGATTATGCCGACGATGTTTTGATGCTGCTGGCGGGGCCGGTCAAGGGCTGACCTCGAGAGCAAAGGTAATAACCTCCTTCAGCAAATCTATGTGTGACTCATAAGTTACGCTTTAACCCCAATAAAACAAGGGGTATCGTCTTCAACAAGTCCGGGCAGCAGAACCTCTACCGAAGGCCGCCGCACCTTAAGATGCACGACAAAATTGTTAAGGTGGAAAAAGCTATTAAGTATCTCAGTGTGTTCTTGGACCATAGACTTTCGTGGGACAGGCACATCAAGTACGTGACCACTCGCACTGGCCTCATCCTACAATCTTATGCACAGATGGCTAAGAGGCATTGGGGGTTATCCACTGGTGCCATGTCGATTATCTATGACGCTGTCTACATCCCTACTGTTACTTACGCCTGTGGCACTTGGGGTTGGGCTGTCCAGAAAGTCCACCCCAATAGGAAACTCATCTCTTCTCAGAGGCGGGCCCTTATTATGATCACCAGGGCTTTCAGGACTACCAGCAACCGTTGCTTACAGGTGGTGGCAAGGAAGATACCCATAGACCTTGCCATCCTACAAAGAATGAAGTATTATCAAATTAAATGGGGCAGCTCCACCCATACCCCTATGGGTGAGATCCAACACAACGACATTGAATGGTCCTTCCCCTTCTGGGAAACCTCCTTCTCAAGCAACCTTCCTCCTCCTAATCATGATGATACCCAACACTGTACCATCAACGTTTACACTGATGGCTCAAAGTGTGACAATTCTGTCGCTGCAGCTTCATCGTCTATGATAATAATATCGAAGACTACCATCAAATCTACCGCCTCCATAGCAACTGCTCCGTCTTCCAGACGGAGCTTTATGCTATCGACAGGGCCATCGATTACATCAACTGTAACTATAACAACTTCCCTGTTAGCATTTATACTGACTCTTTTTCAGCTCATCAGATCATCCAAATCAACAAACTGCATCCTCTTTCTGCTCATATCAGGAACTCCATTCGCTTGTCTGGCTGTAACATCAGCCTCCTCTGGATTAGGGCCCACCAGGGCGTGGTGGGCAACGAGAGGGCCTACAGCTTAGCAAAACAAGCTACTATGGATGCTGCAAAACCCATTGCATATCCACGTCCTTTGGCTAATCTTGGCATATGCCAAGATTAGCCAAAGGACTCTACGGCACATTCTTTGGGAGGAGTCCCTCTCCATCTGGCAAACTGCCTGGAACAATCATAACCACCATATCACATACAGGTATATACCCAACCTGCACGATTTCTTCTGTAAGGACTGGTATTATCCTAATTACTATATTTCCCAAATGCTCACGAACCACGGCAAGTTCGCCAGCTATCTGGCACGCTTTGCTCAGAGGGACAATGGGCTTTGCCCTGCCTGCAATATCGATGACGGTTCCGAGCACTACTTGTTTAACTGTATTGCTTTCGAACGTGAACGTTTAGAGCTTACACTTCTCCTTAAGGATTCAGGTGTTGGCTGGCCTTGTAGTCTCTCCGACATCTGGCACAACAAAGACATCTACTACACCTTCAAGCGACTCGCAAAAAGCGTCATTTCCATCAACGAAGCCATCATTTTTCATTAACATCATGGACTTTCTCACAGCCACTGGTTCCTTCTACACGCGATGCATCTGGCGCTATATAATGTTAACTCACGCAGCTCTGCAGAGCCTCTTTATTGTGTAAATATTTCTATATTTGTATATTTTATTCATTCCTATTTTAGTTTAATTATTCTGTTTCTTCATATTTTATTTTAATTATCTTCATGTTTGCTACATTATTGTCTTATAACCCTCAATCATTTCTGTATCGCTAAATATTTTGTTTTGTATAATAATTGTATTTGATTGTAACCATTTCTATTTGGTGTTCTCATTGTACTCTGTATTCTCGTTCCCTGGTAATGCTTTATGCGGGGCCAGTGAATGTACTCTTTGTACCAATAAATAATACTGACTGACTGACTGACTGTCCAGGGGACCATCAGAAATCGCGATGATTTCAATGTAATTATTGTCATTGAATAAAAGTGTCATTTCTGTTCGTCTCGTTGAGTATTTCTGTCAGTTACCTTCTGTACTATACTGTAGCAGTTCTTTCTATGTATGGGCCAAGTTTCATCAAGCTATGTTACTTGGCAGTGACACAACATGCAAATGTTACTTTTGTCCTTAAGTTTTGCATAACAGTGTAAGTTAAGATTAGTTTAAGGACGCAACCCGCAGTTGTAAGGTCCTAAAGTTTGTTATTTCCAGGACATAAGGTTTGTGACAGAGCTGGTTTTATACCATGGAATTCTGTATACAGTTATATTGCAAGAAACGGGAATTAGAAGGGACGTGTCTTGGAGTTGGAACCTGCTAAATTCTTGTTCAAATACGAAATAAAGTTTTTCTATGTTTTTGAAAATTATATCTTGAGTATTTCTCATTTCAATACAAACAATTCCACAGCATTTTCTAACAAAACTGAATGTGCTGCTATAATTATCCTGAATTATTTTTATTAGTAGCAATCATTTTTTTTAAACATCAATTTCTAATGTTCATTATTATTTGAATAAAAAATCATTATACAGTATTATGTTTTTCCAATGAACTGGTTAAAGTAACGCCGGTTGGCAACAAGGCTTTTTCCAGCGGGTGAGAGGTCACCCAGGTAAAGGAAAAGGATCCTTGGTTTCTTGGTTTAGTGTTTCTTTGTGTGTTAAGATGTTCAGAGTGACTGCGTGGAGCGGTGCAAGCAATACCTACATAGACTTGTGTTACCATCTGGAAGTGAAAGAATCCACTTGCATTGGCTGAAATATTTACTGGGTGATAAAAGTGTTTTGTTGGTAAAAAGTAATTGTCGGTAGTGGACATTGCCCAACAATTAGTTTTCTTTTGTAAGACCCATGTGTCTGGATTTTTACCAAAAGGACCTATAATATAGTAAACTCATTGTATAAATCACAAACCATGCAGCCCAGTTGAAGGGCGACAGCAGTTAAAACAGTGACTACCATAGACCACTAGAACAGGGAAGGGGGTATAGGTCTGGCCATGCAACTTGACCTCTTAAAAAATTATTCTAAAATTGATTCAGACTTTGATTCAGAGTTCAAACAGCCTCCTGGAATGAATTAAATTCAAAGAATGATGCACTACTGTATAGAGTCGCAACTTCAAATGAAATAACTAATTCATCTTATAATTTGTAGTCAAGCTTTTGCAGGTTTCATCCTCTAAAAGACATTTGATAACACATCATTCAATGTATGTCAAGAAAGTTGTTATTGTATATTTTAAAAAAAAAAAAAAAATGTCCAATTCTTCTCAAAAAATTTTAAAAAATTTCTTATTAAAAAAAGTGTAAAATAAAACAACACTTTTAAAGATTGAATTGACTTTATCAGTGAAAAAGTGGACAAATGCAAACACAGCAGCCATGTGGAGACCACCCTTGAAAAGCAAATTGTCTTCACAAAAAACAGATGGTTGAGAGCTCTGCAAGCTTTAACTAGAAAAAAATTGTACCTTTTAATATATGACACTGCATATTTTACTTTCATTAATTCATTACAATTAAATATAGCAAAATTGTATAAGATTTATTAAATGTTAAATTTTGTTCAATTATTTAATAATTTATTAGATAATTGAACAAAATTGGTTATTTGAGTCCAGATTAGTAAGAATGTACAGTGTTTCAATTATGATTATTTCAATTTAAATATATTTTAAATTACATCAATTGATATTCTTATTAAGGATATTATTTGTAAAGTGCTAACACACATATTTTACTTAAATAAATTTATGCACTTTACCTTGAGGAATTTGTAGAACAGCTAAAATAAATCCTGTCATAATGTCACATAATAAATATTTTTTAAGTGGGTAGCGAGGTAGCCAGTATAACAGAGGAAATACAGAATAAATACAAGTTACAGGACTGCATTTGCAACATTTAATAATCTAAAATAAAAAACAAAAAATTACAAATGTGAATTATATAATTTAATTTTGAAATTCTTTAACTAAAATTATTATTTAAATTATATTCCATTTTTATAATTGAATATCTAATACAATTAATTTTAAATTTTTTCTAGTTAATAAAATATTAATTAAATGGTTTATGAAAAAAAGTTATAACCATATACAGATGAAGAGGAACTCATTAATTTAAATCCTTAAAATTATAAAAATGTACTTGTAGGTACAGTACTTAACAAAGCTTTGGATATTTATTAAGATATATCCTAAGCTTTATCCTAGGCCTAATAAAAATCTTTATGGATAAAGATCATGACATACAAAATGAAAACTTTACAATTAAGAATTTTTGATAATGATTACTGCATATTACATTATTTCATCTGTCTTTATAAATACAGTATTACAAATTTTATTAAATAATAGTACAGGGTAGTGAAATTTGTTGGTGATTTTGGTGTGATTTAACTAATTATGAATTTTTGTTTTCTCTTACAGGTAAGATAATCATTTTGATTTAATATGCCAAAGAGAAAGACACATTTGCCTGTAGGCTAGATGAAGAGGACAAAAATTTTTCATCCCAGATACATTAGAGAAGACAAAAATTACAGATTTGTTACAGGGAGATCTCAATGTGAAAGATGGAATCTCATTATTAATTGAATTAAATTTAAATCAAAATGTTAAGTTAGAGAAAATAATTGCAAAAGTGGATAGGATAGCCTTGTTGGTGGAGAATTTGGATGAGGTGATTGTAGGATTCAAATCTAGAATGGAGTTATTGGAGAAGTTGATGCAGGAGGAAGATTTATCTTTAACTGCAGAATGAGTGAATTTGCAATGGCAAATCCCAGATATTAGTTTAAGTATGAAGCATTAAAAATGTTTTATAAAGAAGGAAAGAAGAAAAGCTTTGCTAAAGAAATAAAAGGGGAAAGGAGCACAGTGAATGGCAAGATTTTCACTTGTAATACTTCCTCAAAGAGGATGGAAATGTAAGGTTGGTCATGACCTCATTCTGATGTTTTGATAATGTCATGGAACTGTGAGGGAATTCTGAATAAATATTTTGATAATTTTTGTCTTCTTTCAAGGTTGTCTTTCTCTTGGACACTTGGTGGGATAGCAAATCTGTTGTTGCGGAGTTCCGTGATTATGAAAATTTTGTGATCATTCAGGAAGCTGGTTTTTGCAAGACTAATAGAGGACATTGTATAAGAGGTTAGATTTTTTTAAGCACATTGTTAACTTTTAAAATTTTGATACAGAATAAGTTTAATTCATTGATCAAAATTACATTAAGTAATAGATTGGTTATGTTTTGTTTTTTGTATCTAAGATCTGTTATTTGGGAAGATATTTGGATTGAGATTATTATGGTTATTCAAAGTTATAATGGTGACATTCTAATGCACATATGAAAATGGACCCACAGGATTGGGCCCTGGAAATTTTGGGTGAGTTGGAATGGTGTTGGTTATTGAGAATATTGCAAGATCTGATAGTAAATCTGCAAGGTAAATCAATTATAAGTTTTTATGAGAATTTGGGCTATCTGATTATGAATGGTAGAGGCCTGTCCTTTTTAGGGTGTCTATTGTAATCATATACATCAACAAGCAATTATTTATTGTGAAAAATAAATTTAAACTATTAATCATTTTTGAATTTATTTAATTCAAATTATATGCTCGCCACCTCAAATTAATAGTGTCTTGCCTCTGTATGTAATACTTTTCCTGTTAGCAAGCCCCTGTACACCATATTTTTCCTGTTAGCAATAGAGTCAAGCCAGTCACATGTTTAACTCCTTTTAGGAGAAATTTTTTGAATTGAAATAACATGACTTCTGGTTTGCATCAGAAGTTCATACATATTTAATCAAGGCTTCCTGCTCCTAAGGTTTCCATACCTTGTCTTGACTTTTATTAAGGATAGACAGACAGACGACAGTGGGAATTTATAGGTCTACAATTTTTTCAAATTGCAGTCTAAATAAGCTTTTGATGGTGTGTTGGTTGAACCTGTGTATGACGACTATGCTTGTAACCCTGCTATAATGACCTGTTATAATTCACTTTGCCAGTTTTCAAGATTTATTATTATACATTTTCAAGTAACTAAAGGATAAAAAATCAAAGACAGTGGTTTGTTATGGAGTCATAGTCCAAAGTAAAATAAATTTTCAGGCTCATCCCCATCACATATCCTATACACAAATATATTTTTTTACAAATTATAATTGAAAAATGATCAAAACACTTCAATTTGAAACAGTCACACTTAGTATCAATCTTCATTTTTTCCCTTAATTATAATAGAAAAAATTCATTTGGGAGTTCCATAGAATAGGGAATCTTAGAGTATAATATACCACTATCAAAGATAATGAATGATAACTGAACTGCAATTTTTTAAGTGTAGACCTATAAATTCCCACTGTCGTCTTTCTGTTCTTCCTTAATCTTGAGAACAGAGTTAGATAGAGGAAAGTCAAGACCAGATAAGGAAAGCTTAGGAGCAGGAGGCCCTGATTAACTATATATGAACTTATGATCTGGACTGATAGTCACATTAATTCAATTCAAAATTTTCTCCAGAATAGAGTCAGATAGATGACCAGCATGATTTTGTTGTTAACAGGAAAAGTATGGTGCACAGGACCAAGATACTAATAAACTCAAGAGTATATATTTTAAACTACTAAATTAAAAATTGCAGCTTGGCATTGTGACCAGGGCCATGGAGTCAGAAGGAATTTCTGGCCAGAGGAGTTGAAGTTGGAAGAAATTTCAGGCCTGAGAAGTCAGTTGGAAAAAATGTGTCGACTCCAACTCTGACTCCTGCATTTTAAATTTACTTTAGTTTTTTTATTTAAATTAAAGAAAATGTATTTTACATTTTTTAATTTTTTAAAAATCTTTTTGTATTTTGTTATAATTCGTTTCTTTTAAATACAAAATGCATCAATTTAATTTATTAAATATGCAGTGTTCTTTGTAGTACCAGTATTTGTGCTTAGTAGTTAGATTATTTTGACCCAATTGAATTTGAATATTTTTGAATCATTCCTTTATTATCCCTGCTCTAAATAAATACTCTATTTTTCTGAATGAGTCAGACTAATTGATCAGAGTACATATTTTTCTTTTCTAAACAAGGGGCTGAAGTAGCTAGATCACACTTTTTAGTTGGACTAACTCTTCTGAAAGGGTGAAATTGAAGTGCAAAAACTGTAGAATAAAGATATGTAGATGTAGAATTTTATCACCTCATTTCTCCTCTTATTAAACATTTGTTAAAAATTAACTTTTTAATACAAATAAATATTGATGTAAGTTAAATATTAAAAATACTAACTATAAAAGTATTTGTGTAAACGCCCCAGGCTCTTTTCGGAGTAGGGTATACCCATGAGTGCCTCTGCCCAACATAAAATGACTTGGTATTTAATTTTGCCGGAGTCGGAATCGGCCTACTAAAATTATCAGGAGTCTGAGTCGAGTGTTTTTTTACTGACTGATTGTGACAATGTCACATTAAATAATTACTTGTTTGTTTTATTTTAATTTGCTAACTTTGATTATAATGTAAGTTTCATCATTTGAAAATATTCTAAAATAAACTTGTTGAAATATTAACATATTACTATGTATATTCTATAATTTATAAAAAATATAAATATATTATTGTAATCTTTATAAAATTAATATTTATAAAGATGTAATATAAAAATAAAATATAAATATAAGTTATAAATTGTTAATTTTACACAGACAGTTGAAAAGTTCCCAGAATTATGGTATAGCAATATAATGGTAGGATATATGGAAACACTTACCTAATTATCTTCAAAGTAGGACGGGCATTCAGGTGGTTGGCCCTTGCATTTGATTTGATTTCCTCCATGATGAAAATGTGTCCCCATGACACCCATTTTCAGCATACAGGAGTCAAAAATTACTCAGAGCAAGATCCAATGAGTTCAGTTATTGGGCAATGACAGGAAGTCTTTTCTTGGTGAGGAATTGCTGTATAACAAGCAATGAATCAGTGGCGTGTCGTGACATTTGATGATAGGGAAGATGTGTTTCTGTAAGAAGCCGACTTCCAGGGGCAATCAGTTAATTGTGCGTCAGTGATGGTCTATGTTCCATTCGTACGTACAGTACTGTACGTGGTGTACAAAGACAAAGATGACTAGTATCTAACAAAAACCGTTTATTTTAACATAAAATAAACACACACTATATACAAAATACTTTGCTTTAGGACAATCAGCTGTTCGGACGTTCTGGGCGTCGATGTGGTTCTTTGATCGTCGATCAAAGGTGGTCCCGGGACAGTGGCGTTGACAAGTCTGTAAGGCACGGGGAGACTTCGTCTGTTGGCGTTGGCGACACGGTCTAAGTTCGAAGTGGCACGGGTTACAAGTTGGCACAATAGATGAGAAACTGTTTTTTTTTTTTTTTTTTTTTTCTTCTTTTTTCTTTTTCTTTTGGCGCGTTGACACACGGCGTTTTGGTTATTCGGAACGTTAACCGAGTGCGAGGTGTAGGATTGTGCTTGATTGTCGGAGATTATATCAATCTCTGTTATTTCTTTCGTCCATTTTGATTTGTCGTTCTTCCTTAATCACGCTTTCCGAGTGGCTGGTCCCTCGTTACTAAGCGTAACGAGACTCCTACCTGGAGCGCTATAAAGGTCAAAATCGAAGATGAATTCGATCTTCCACCGATCATAGGACGACTTCCTTCTCCGATTTATGGTTTCTGCGTCGCAGTTTGATATAAACTATGAGTGTCCGACTACAAACGATTTTTTCCTATCTTTTTTTAAACTAATAATTTTTTTTTCTAAATTAACCGTTTTTTCGCGTCTTTTGTGACGGTTCGGACCTGTCCGGAACAACATATTTTCCATAAAGATTTTAAATAAATACAGGAAATGACAAAAATAAACAATTTATGTATTTTAGTTCTAAAATACAAATAATACATACAGTACAGTACATGATACAAATAGATATGATACAAACAATGATAAAAAAATTTGTTTTTTAATTTTTTATACAATTCTATTCGGCGATTTTTCCGCAAAGTCGTTAATAACTTTATCATAAAAGTCGCTTGTCGTCGACTCCATCAACGTATTTGAAAGCTGTTTTTCTATTGAAAGTAACGCTAGCGACGATAATTTTTCCTTCGACCGAATGTTCTTGGCCAATGTATGAATTTGCTTCGTGGTTGCTCAACGGACGCACTGGTAGTGGATACCGTAAAAATTAATAATATTAAATCATATAATTCTTTTAGTACATCTTTGTTCGGATCGGCATTAATTATAATACATTTTATGTCTAAGAGTTACTTGTCAATATAGTCTGGACACGAATATAAATATTGCGATTCACTACGTAATTTAGATAAATCAAAAAATTTCCCATAAAATTTACTTAATTTAAAGAATTAAAACACGCTTGGGAAAATTAACCCTAATCTGTAATAAAATACATAATGCGGTTATAATAAATACAGTATTAATTTTAAGTACTGTAATTCAAAATACGTTCAAATATGAAAATAATCGCACAATAGGTATTTATATTTTAGAAAATACAAGGAAAACGGCGCTTCCATAGCTTCCAATGACGGCACGCCACTGCAATGAATGATTATTGTGCATTATTGTGATGCATAGACATCTTCACCATCACTTGTCATGCCATGTCACTGCATTATGCAACATATACATAAAAATGACCACTAATACTCTGTCTAGGTGGTACAAACTCATGGCGCATCTCATAGTCCACCATCCATATCAAAGAATGCAAAGATCATCACTCTTTCCTTGGATTTGACAAAGCATGATTTCTGGTCAGGGAGGCGACACCATGTGCCATTCTGATACAGAGCTTTTGTTACTTGGGGCAAACCTCATACCTGGCACCCCTGATTCAGCATTAATTACAAAAAGGTTTCTATGGGCTTTTAATTCTAATAACTCATTTTGGAGTCTCTAAGCCTGCTACAGTTAGTTGCATCTCTGCTCTGATGACTACATCTTAGTCTCTGGGTCATAGACAAACACCCATTGAATATCAAATTGAATGTGAACTCCTAAAAATTCTGAAAAAAGCCTTCCAATGGTGCTTCTAACAACAACGGGATTGATACCGCAAGTGCGTGTGTTAAAGGGTCCTACTTTGAAGGTGATTAGGTAAGCATTTCCATATATAATACCACTACAGTGCTATACCAGGTACCATAATTCTGGAAACTTTCTTGACTGCCCATGTACACATCTTACATATATCCTATATCCTTTTTCAAACATTTTATTAAGAAAAAATATCTTACCAGATTTTTACAATTTATGCAAAATGATTTAGATTTTATATCCTTCTTATCTAACTCATCATGATGAATAATATTACGTTGAATAGAAATATAATTTTCTTTTGGTTCATTATCTGAAAATCGATTTGATTCTGGATCATAATAATTCTTCCTATCTTTCCTCCATGTATGTAAGTCCATATGATTTTCATAATTAATTTCTTTATCACTGTGTACTTCTTGAAGTTCTAAATTATGAGAATGATCAACTTTATCATTACATCTAGACCAAGTAACTGTAAAACCATCAGATTTTACATTTTGATTTACTGAATTTCTTTCAATGATGTGATTACCGACTTCTTTTTCAGTGTCTAAGTTTACTGAACGTGTTGTTTTTTCCAATGTTGCTTGTATACTATTTTTCTCAATGATTCTATCATCTGCAAATAAACAAAATTATTGTATAATTACAATATTTAAGAAGACTGGAATATATCTATAAATAGATTGAAATTAGATTTACAGTATATCAATACGAATATCAATGTTTTCAAAGAATACAAATTAACCATTTACAATGTAAAAATGTAGAAATCGACTTCAGTAAGTACGAATTCCAGAATTACGAAGTTTTTACGTAATAACAATTGCCGACATTCTTCTATAGGCCTGCTATTGAGCTATCTTATTATTATTAATATTACTGTTATACATTTTTAATTTTGAATTCAAAGTTTCATCAATACATCGTAAATTGCAAGACTTGTTCCTGTTTGTAATATATTAGACATTTTAATCGTTATTTCTAATCTTTGCATGTGATAAATTTTTACATCTTGGTCTTCTTTTAATGTTTTACTTGAATTAACATTTTCTTTATTTAAGGCACTTTTCATTTTTCTTTTCCGCTTATTTGTTAGCTGCGACTGTTTTGCAAGTTTTCTCTTTTCGTCTCAAAAGGGCAGAATTCCAAAGCATCAAAGGTCTATAAGGTCTATAAACATAAGGTCAGGGCACCAATGTTCCCTATGAAGCAGTCATTTTGGATCCACAGTTCCAAGGTCATGGTATAGATTTCATGCTATATAAACTGCACGTTTCTTCGAGTTCGAGCCACAGAATTCTTTTATAAATTCTAATAGGGTTTTTTTTTCATTTAGAAGTTACTCTTGACACATAATTAAAGGCTTTAACTAAATAGGTTCCAAAATAAAAAGCTATGTCAATGGTTCGTATAATAAAGTACGAGGATAAATTTATCTAGTTTTGAAATGCAAAATTAGAGAAGAAATTTGGAGATATTTGTTAAAATAATATATTTAGTTTTCTTTTTCACATGCATTTTTATATTACACAAAGTGCAAACAAGAGCTCACATTAAACATTTTTATAAATTAAAATTAGATGAAGAGAAAAGCAAACCATTCTCACAAACTTTACATTTTATGTAAAGTAAACCTTCAAAAATATTTGCAAGAGATAATAATTTCCTTCATTTAGTAACATTCTTATGCATATAAACTAAATTCATTTATTTTTGTAGAGAATTAAGTAAATATATTTATAAAAATTTATTAAACAATAGACAAAAATAGAAATAGCTACTTCAACTTTATTTATTCTGTTATTTTATAATAAAACTAGCTGTTACCCGCGGCTTTGCCCGCGCGGATTTTACAAGCAAACTCCATTTATATTCAGTATTTCAACAACCATAGTAATTGTTATATAACACCTACCGCTGAGAATGATGAGAATTGCCGAGAATCAAACGAACTATTTTCAATTTGATCAATTTTCTGGAACGTTTACAATCGTTCTATAATCGAACCAATATGCAATAACAAATTCGAATTTAAAACGGTTCGAACATTTTTAAAATCGAAACAGATAAAAATATTTATAACAATGTCTGAAATGTTATTAATTTAATACACCTAAGTACTTGATGAAGACTAAATCCTCTCCCTCTCCAGCCCGCGGGGGAATTTGGAAAAATCCCTTCTTAGTATGCATTGCCATGGCGTACCCTACTAAAACGCAGATAAAAACAAAAAATCGCATCTAAAATAGTACAGTAGAAACCATTATTCCGGTTAAGCCTTAATGCTCTCCCTCTCTCCTCCCCGCGGGGGAATTTCGAAAAATCCCTTCTTAGTGTGCGTTTTCATGACGTACCCTAAGGCCCTGTACACACTAGGCGTTTTTCAACGCGCGCTTAACGCCGAGCTAACGCGCGTTAGCTCGGCGTTCGAGCGTTAGTTTGGCGTTTAGCACTGGCTAAGTTTGGAAATGGACGAGAAAGTAATTGATTGTGTGTGCTCCTCCATCGTCGCTATAAGGCAGCACATATATCTCAAAGCGCCCGTAAAGTGCCCGCAAAACGCGCGTTTTAACAAAAATCTATAAACGCGCGTTTTAACAAAAATCTATAAACGCGCGTTTAACGCGCGCTTGGCGTTTGAGTGTGTACGGCTACAAAGAACTCTTGGTTCTTTAAAACGCGCGTTAAACGCGCGCTTTTAAACGCGCGTTTAACGCGCGTTGAAAAACGCCTAGTGTGTACAGGCTCTGTCTACCAAATTTCACCTCTTTAGGTTCAGCGGTTTGCTCTGGGCGATGATGAATCAGTGACTGAATGAGTCAGTCAGGACAAGCAATTTTATATATATAGCTCATCGTACACTGCAATTTCTTACCAACTAAACACACTAAACACACTCAAGAAAACCTTTAAATATGCAGCCGTATTTATTAAATTCTAACGTTTTCGATCATATTCAATGACCTTTATCAAGAACTAGCTGCAAGGACCCGCTTCGCTGGGTTTTTATTTGTGGGCAAAAAGTAACGATAGTAAAGATTAAGATAATTACATTATAGCCAATCTTACCCGTTTTCACAAAATGCAAGAATTAGGTCTCCCGTTTCCAGACGTTTCCAGAGAATTTTTACATGAGCATAAAAATATGTTCGATTTCCCGCAAAAGCGCAAAAAACCGCCTGTAAATCTTGCATGCCGCTTTATATTAACACTTCCTGGTCCCGATTCTATTTCTGAACGTCTCCTGTTCA